TCAGGACCCTCTTGGTCTCCTCCGCCTGTCGCCATGGCTGCGGGGAGGGGGTGGGAGGAGACAGTTGGGGCCTGCCCCTGCCCCTGCTGCTCCGGCTAACCCTCCACCTGCCCTTTCTCTCCCTTCCACAGGCTGGGCCCCATCCCCTGCTGCTCTGGGGGGCAGGGGCCGGAAGATGGTGGCCAATGAGGAGGGGGAGTGGAGAGAACTTGAGCCGGGGCCTCCCCTCCCCCATTTCCTCCTCGGTCTCTACACCCGCCTCTGGAAGGAGCTGGGGGATGGCTCCTGGGCCCAAGGTGGGGGAGGGGCCCTGCTGGCTGGTGAATCGCAAGGCCCGCTCTGGAAGGAGTTGGGTGTGAGAGCTGAGGGGATCTTGGCCCTAGCCTCCCTTCCCTGCCCTCCCCAAGGAGAGATCTGGGCGCTCGTCGGTGAATAGAATCTTTCACTGCCCCCCACCCCCACCCCCCGAGACTGGCTGGGCAGTCCCACCTTCACTCCTTTGCTCCCTGTTGGCATGATCCACTTCCCAGCCCGGACTGGTTTGCCCCACACAGAGGCCTGATGACTGACCCTAGCGGGCTCTTGGTTTCCGTCATTGCAACTGTGCAAACTGCAGGACAGGGCCCCTTGTCTGCGGATCCTGGAGGGGTGGGAGGAAGCTGGAAGGGGAAGCCCGGAGGAAGGGCTCCTAACCGGAACCCTGCCTCCGTGCCTCCTGCCCGCGGTGGAGTGGGGACGAGGGTATCGCCCAGAGGCAGCTCCATCCCGCGAAGGCCTTCACTGATCAGTGTGCCTGAGGAATCACCCTCCAGCCTCTGCCCCTTTGGGCCACACAACGCTTACCGGGTCAGAACTGGAGTTCGGCTTCTGGGACCACTGCTTTAGCCAGGAGCGGGTCCTGCGGGGCTCTCCAGGTGCCCCTTGGAGGCAGTCTTCTGGCTTTGGCTTTTGATCAGTCTCAGGATTGTTTATCCAGTGTTTAAGCCCCCTTCCCTGGGCCAGGATGGGCAAGTTGTGAGTGAGCTTGGACTCTAAGGGGAGTCTGGGAACAACTCCGATTCTGCTCTCATTGCCATTGAAAGCCCATCCTTGACGCTCAGTACAAGAGAGGGGATCATCCTCACGATGTTGTTCAATGTGAACTCCGTAAGGTGGATTTGAAGACCGCAGAGGGGAGATGCAGGGCTGGGGCTTCCTCCTCTAGACCTGGAAGCTTCACTGTGCTGCCTGGGAGCTGTGACTATACTCCTCCTCCCTCTGGTCCTGGAGGTGCATCTGAGGTGGACCCCTGGAGGCCTAGAACTCCCCTTTATCTGAACGAAGAGGAGAGAGCTTTTGAGCAGGGAGGACTAGAGTGTGGTGCGGTCCTGGTCAGCAAGCTCCCTCGGAAGAGAAGCTGGCAGAGATCAAATCCAGGGAAACAGTTTCATGTGAGTGTACCCCCAAACACTTGGGGTTGCTGCCGGTCACTTCCAATTGAGTGCCAAGCTCAAGGTGTCCCTTTAGCTGCTTCCATGGACCCCGCCTCCCCTCCTGCGCCCCAAAACACTAAGATAAAAGGCAGTCTCTTCTGGGAAGGGTATGAGGAAGGAGGCCAGAGGAGGAAGGGAAAGAAAATAAAGGGTTAGTATTGAGAAGGGAGGGAAGCTGTCTTGAAGATGCGAAGGGGCAGAGGGAGGCCAAGAGAGCTGAGTGGGCCGGGGCCTGGGAGAAGGGGCGAGGAGGCAGGGCCGGCATGCCTCTACTGCGGGCCGGAGCTCTTTTCACATTGTGCTACTGTCTGCACCTACCACTAGCAGTGCAATGTTAAAAGGGCATTGGCCGTGTAGTGCTACCCAGCGCCGGCTGTCTCCTGTATCAAGACCCTCTCCCATCTGGGCACCAATCAGCTATCCTCCTGGTGAGATTTGGGAAGCCTGTTGGCGGCACTAACCGCTCCCACGTCTGGAAGCACTTCCACGCGCTAGGCACGTCATACTAATAACTTCCTGGCAAGTAACATCCCCATTTTACAGATGAAAAAACTGAGGGCCAGGCAGGTTTAAGCAGTGTGGGCCATGGTTATACAGCTCTTACATTGCAGCGCCTAGCTATAACCCTGTCCTAAGTCTGACAGCTCACCTGTCTTTTTTGTAGACCTATCTGGAGAGATTGGAGTAGGTTCTGTCCGCGGGGAGGTTGCCTGAGCTGAGGGTTGGAAGGTTTTGATGCCACCTGCTGGTTGTAGGGGGGTATCTTCCAAAGCCTCAAACCTTTCAGAAGGAAGAGTTCCCAGACTCAGCCTGGGGTCGGAGGGTGCGTGGAGAAGGTTGGGAGAGTCACCGATAGGACCGAAGTGGACCTCCATGAGAAAAACTGGATGCACAGGAAAGGAGATAGGGCTGACCTGGAAGGGCTGCTCGCCAGGGACAAGAACCTGTGTGCACCTTGCATTCTGCACCTGCAGCTCCTCCCCTGGCTCTTGGGGAATAAAAAGGATCCCTCATCTCCACCTGTAGTTCCTCGCACAACCCTGCTGGGAAATAGAGTGTTTGGTCATGATGCTTATCCAGGGTACGCCTGTCTGGGCATCCAAGGTTTGGGTAGCACTGCCCATGGCCTGACCTTAGAGATTAAATAGGATCCCTGGAGCCAAGCCACAGAACGATTCCTTCTGGGGAGATGACAAAGAACTTGAGAACAATGGCTACACCATTTACTTCTCTGTTTCCCACAGTGCCTAGGAAATAAGAAGTTGTGAAAGTAAGCAAAGGGGGGGCAGTTTGGGGGAGCTTTAAGAAGGTAGCTCATTTGTGCCTGATTTTCAGGGTTAGTGCTTGGGGCTTGAGAAGAGAACCCTTCCTGAACTTTGGCACCAGAAGTAGGACTGAGGGTTTCTGGGTTTCTGGATCTCTAGGCATCACCAGGCACGCAGAAAGTGAATGGCGGGACAGACGCCTCCGAGGCCTCGGAGGTGCTGGCCGTCATTCCTTCAGGGCTTGTATCTGTCTTCTTCACGCACTTCTGTATCTGCCAGTTCTCCCTTTCTGCCCAAACAGCCTCTCCATTCTGACACTGACCGTATGGTATTTGGTAGTACAGTTAGCTTCTGTCCCCTAACTTTCTTCAGCATCTTAACGTTTCTGTTTGAGCCTCTTCTCTGGGCACAAAACAGCTGTTTGATGATGTCACTCCACTCTTAAGAATTTTTCAGTGTTTTCCCAATGCCCTTGGGATGAAATCTAGCTCCCCAAATGGTCTGTTTTTCTGGGGAAACTTCTATTCCCTCCTCCAATTAACTAAGCTCAAGCCTTGGCACACGGTTCTCTGTGTCTGAAATATGCCCCTCCCCATTTCCCCTGTGTCCACTCGATGTCTCTTCCGCGTGCCTTCAGTCATCACTTCTGTGAAGTCTTCCCTTGACTCCTCATATCTAGGCTGAGCCTCTGCTAGGAGCCCCTGAGCCTACTCCCTATCCCTGCTCAGAGCCCTTGTTCTGGAATCATCTGGTTACTGTTTGTCCTCCCATTAGATCGAGAGCAC